ATACGAGCATCCTACGATGCAAACAGGACCCCGGTAGACAAAACTAGGGATTCCTAGAAGCTGCATGTTTCCTGGTCTGTGCTTTTGCCTCATTTCTGAGTTGTAGGAAGCTCTCAGCCAAGCATCATTTGCAGGCACTGCAGCTCTTTGACGGATTGTTCCAGGAAGTGGTGACTCATTTTCCCAGTCTCTCGAATCTTGTCATTCTTCATCTCTGGTCAGGGGCCGGGGGGTCCCAGTTGTCTCATCTGTGAATCACCCTCTTTCGTGCCTCTTCCCAGCCTACTTCCTGCACACAGGCCAACGAGACCATGTTTGCCTAGCCAGCAGTGAGGAGAATGACCCCAGGCTGTTCTCTGGGTGACTGTCAAAATTCACTTCTGCGGTTATTAAACTGCAATGCAGAAAGCAGCCTACTTTGTACCTCCCCTTCCATTGCCCTGACTTCTATAAATGGCTTTGAACTTGAATCAGGTAGATTTCCCAGCAAGTTGAAGTAACCCAGTTTAATTAGTTCGAATAATGAGTATTTTTAGAGCAAAGTAGGAATTGCTTCACAATGCAAGCAGGGGGGTGGGAAATGTCTTCAGCATCCTCTCATCATGGTGCACACTGATTTAATGCATTCCTTTCTGCCTTCATCCTTGGCTGAGTTACACCGCAGGAAAGTCTTAGTGGCTGACAAGGGTTGGTTTAACACTCAAAGCACGTGTCCTTCATGTGTTGGCCAAAGATCTGCTTGTGTTGTATGTATTCCAGGACCCTGGATGAAGGAAAAGTTCCCATCAGGGGGTCTTCAAAATGTTCGTGCAAAATGCATGTTATGAAAATACTATGCATAGATTGCAAAGTGTCTTTCCAACAAAATAAATTTCGGCTTAGCATTGGGACACTCATGTCGTCTCATATCAGAGTGCCTGGGTTCGAGTCCTGGCCCCCACTCCTGATTCCCGCATCCTGCTAATGCACTCCATAGGAAACAACAGGTGATGTTGCAAATGACTGGGTCCCTGCCATCCGGGTCAGTGACCTGGACTGAGCTCCCAGCTCCCAGTTTCAACCTGGCCCAGCTCTGCTCATTGTGGGCATTTGGGGGGTGACTCAGTAGACGGAGCTCTCTGTGTCTCTCAAATAAACAAAAAATTGAAAATTATAATAATAATGTAAAGGTATGCCCTCGTAGTTGGTTAAGTGTTTTGTAGCAAGAGAAAAATAAATGGCAGAGGCAGGCGCCGCAGCTCAATAGGCTAATCCTCCACCTAGCGGCTCTGGCACACCGGGTTCTAGTCCTGGTTGGGGTGCCGGATTCTGTCCCGGTTGCCCCTCTTCCAGGCCAGCTCTCTGCTGTGGCCTGTGAGTGCAGTGGAGGATGGCCCAAGTACTTGGGCCCTGCACCCCATGGGAGACCAGGAGAAGCACCTGGCTCCTGCTTTCGGATCAGCACGGTGCGTCGGCCGCGGCGGCCATTGGAGGGTGAACCAATGGCAAAGGAAGACCTTTCTCTCTGTCTCTCTCTCTCACTGTCCACTCTGCCTGTCAAAAAAAAAATGGCAGAAAACCCAATGGCTTTGAAGCTTCCACTTGGACTAACACTTTCCTTCTCATTTCATTGGCCAGCATCCCGCATGGCAAACAAGGAGACATAGTCCTTTCACAGGGTGGGGGCAGGGGTCAGATGACTGTAAGCAGGGCAACCTGCTACAGTGTACACTCTTGCTCATAAATAGTCATTTCCCTGTGCACTAGGCTATTCTTGGTTGTTATCTCAGAATACCTAAGGCCGGATACTCTAAAGAAAAGAGGCTGCATTATCTCGCAGTTTGTAGGCATCAGACTTGCGATCTCGAAGCTCCACGTGACACATCCAGTCTGGATGTGGGTCGCCTTGGCGTGGAGACACAGGAGCTTGAAAGACAGGTCACCCCTTTCCCCACACCCCTCGCCCTCAACATCGCATGATGGACCATGGTCATACAAAGCACCGCAAACATTCCCAGCCAGAAAGCAAATGGGAGAGAGAGATCGCAGTTGGAGGCTCAGAGCAATGGTGGAATTCTGGGGAGCAGACTTTGCAGTGGAGGCATTTTCCTGGATTACACCGTAGCTCTGCTTCCGGGAAGTTGCTCTAGATTTCCTTGTTCTCCATGCACGACTCCCAACTGCACCCTCTGGGAGATGGGTCCTTTTCCCCTTTTCTTGCACACATCCAATTAGACTGAGCAGAACAGGGCCTCTCCAGGGGCCTGTGTCACTTAATCTTTATAAATGGCTTGTGCCCATAGATCAGGAAACCTGAAGTTCACTTGGAAGTTTGAACAGCCATAGTGTCTTTGTTTTCTTTTTCTATTTATCCAAGAAGCAGAGAGATAGACGGACAGAGCCCCCATATGCTGGCTCATTCCTGAAATGCTTGCAATGGCCAGTTATTGGCCAAGGCTGTCCCAGGCAGCAACCAGGAAAACCTGGGAACCAATCCAGGCTTCCCAGGGTAGAAGGAGCCTGTGCCTGAAGGCAGGCACTCTGTTATGGGATACAGCCACCCCAACTGGCATCTAAACCAAACACCTGCACTCATTGTGTTATTTACCGCAAGACTGTTCTTGGTTCTTGGCCAGATCAGCTCTCTCAAGAACTTTATCATTTTTTTATCCACTTGATCCAATGAGTTCATGTTGGGAGCCACATCCAGTTATTTTTTGGAGACATGCTTCTCTCCAACTTTAATAACAGTTGCCCTAGGAGAGCAACTGAACGCATACAGAGGTTTTATCGAGGGACACATTGATTTCTTTTCATGGCCTTGTGCTCTTGTTTCAAGCATTTCTCAGTTTTATCTGTTTACTAGTTGGAAATGAGAAACAATTGCTTTTTTTTGTTTGTTTGTTTTTTGACAGGCAGAGTGGACAGTGAGAGAGAGAGACAGAGAGAAAGGTCTTCCTTTGCCGTTGGTTCACCCTCCAATGGCCGCCGCGGTCGGCGCACTGCGGCCGGCGCACCGTGCTGATCCGATGGCAGGAGCCAGGTACTTCTCCTGGTCTCCCATGGGGTGCAGGGCCCAAGCACTTGGGCCATCCTCCACTGTCTTCCCGGGCCACAGCAGAGAGCTGGCCTGGAAGAGGGGCAACCGGGACAGAATCCGGCGCCCCGACCGGGACTAGAACCCGGTGTGCCGGCACCGCAAGGCGGAGGATTAGCCTAGTGAGCCGCGGTGCCGGCCAAACAATTGCTTCTTTTAACCTCACAAGACCAGGAATTTCTGAATGGCTTCGGTTCCAGGCTTACAAACCAAACTGTGCCCTGAGTCCATCTCGGTTGTGTAGTACCACATAGGAGGTGACCAGCTGTCACCAGTGTATGAACAAACCTGCAATCTAACGCCAAAACTCGTGCAATAGAGATCTGTCCTCCAAGTTACCATGGGTGGTGGTTTTACCAATCTTTAAAAGAGATTTATTGGAGTGGTGCTGTGGCACAGTGGGTTGAAGCCCCAGTCTGCAGTGCAAGTATCTCATATGGGCGCTGGTTCGAGTCCCAGCTGCTCCTCTTCTGATCCAGTTCTCTGCTATGGCCTGGGAAAGCAGTACAAGATGGCCCAACTCCTTAGGCCCCTGCACCCACATGGGAGACCTGAAAGAAGCTGAAAGGTGGAGTCAAAGAGAGAGACAGAGAGAGAGAGGGAGGGAGGGAGAGACAGACTCTTCCATTCACTGCTTCACTCTCCAAATGGCCTCAATGGGCTTGGCCAGACCAAAGCCAGGAGCCTTATCCAGGTCTCTCATGTGGGCACAGGGCCTCATGCACTAGGGCCATCATATGCTGCCTTCCCAGGCATATTAATGGGCAGCTGGATCCACAGCAGAGCGGCCGAGACGCAAAGCTGCGAGTCGGATACCGGGCACAGGTGTTCCAGGTAGAGTAGGCTGCTGACTCCACCCTCTGAGCGTTTCACTGGATGTAGCTCCTGTTGCACTCACATTTCATTGGCTAAGGAAGTGACCTGACCAAGCCTGACATGAATGGAGTGCAAAGGCAGAATACTATGGCTGGAAGGACCAAGATACAACTGGGGATTCCCCCCCCTCCCTTCTTCATACACATGGCTGTGAACTTGCTTGGTTTATCTGATAAGAGCATAAGAATATGATACATACTTAGAGATACCGCATCAGTCCAATTCCACGTTGCTACTCTAATAAAGCACTGACGCTGGGTGATTTGTAAAGAAAAGAGGTTGATTGAGCACATGGCTTTGAGGTTCAAGGTCATGGTGTTGGCATTGGCTCAGTCCTGGTGAGGGCCTCATGGCACACAGCATCACGGTGGCAGGGACGTGGGCAGAAGAGACCAGACGGTGAGACAAGAAGCCAGAGAGTGACCTGGGGAACACGCTCTCTTTTTTTCATAACAACTCACTCTTTGGGAAATAACCAGGGTCCCCCAGGAACAACTAATCCCTTCCAAAGTTAATGCTTCCGATGCTCTTGCCATCACCCACCAGGTCCCACCTCCTAAAGGCTCCGCCACCTCAACACCACCACGCAAAAGACCAAGGCTCCCACACATGCCTCTTTGGGGGAGAAACGGTCAAACCACCTCCGAACCTTAGCAAGGTGCATCCTTAGGTACACACTCAAAACACGATGGCAATTTGTACTTTTTGGGAGTCGGTGATGCCTTGAGAAACATATGCATTGTCAGTGTGACCCAATCCTGACAGTGGTTGGCTGTAGGAGAAGGAAACCAAGCTAGGAGGTGGTACCTTTTTTCTCCAAGAGTCTAAATTGATGGAGGGGACGGGGTTTGCACTCCCTGTGTTCCAGTAAATCCTTGCAAGTAGGCTTGGAGCAGAGCAGGATGCACGCAGAACTGCTCACCTGACACCCTGAGAAGCTGAGATGCGTTTCTGGTGGGGGAGTGTGGGGCTCACCTGGCAGGCCCCCTGCCTGGTCCTTGTGCCCGAGGCCCACAGCCCCCTCACTGGTTTGCGTCTCTCTCCACAGTTTGACATGCAGAGGATAACCCTGGAGGAGCTGAAGCACATCCTGTACCACGCCTTCCGGGACCACCTGACCATGAAGGACATTGAGAACATCATTATCAACGAGGAGGAGAGTCTGAACGAGACCTCGGGGAACTGCCAGACGGAGTTTGAAGGAGGTAGGCGTCCGTGCACCTGCCTTCTCCCTGGGCTGGGAGAGACCAGAGCCTCCGGTGCCCGCTATGAAAAATGCGTCTGCAGTCTCTGGGGCTGCAGCCATCCTGTGCTGAAGCCAGGAAGTGAGAAAGGACATGAATAGGTTCATTTATCTGCCAAGATGCAAAGGAGCTTTTTCTTTTAAGTTTCTTTCCTGTCTTTTCTCCCCCCAAACTCTGCATTTTGGGGGGCACAACCCCCATTGGCCCTGTCTTTGCTCTCAGGATTCCCTCAAGCCACAGTTGGGTGTGTGGCTTTGTGGCGTATGCGTTACACGATGGAGGAGCTGCACAGGGGCTTGGGATGAATCCGTTCAAGTCCATTGGCAAACGGCGTGACCCCGAGCAGAGGCCGTACCTTGTCTGGGCACCCTCAGCTATAGACATCGGGAGAATTCACCTGCCACACAAAACCCTCAGCGACAGAGGACCTCTCTCTGCTCCCCGACTGCCCTGGCCAAGGCATGCCTAGTGGCAGAAGCATTTCATGAACCTAACCAGGTGGTTACAAAAGAACTAAGGCTTTCCTGAGGCTTAAACACTCGCAAAAGGCCATTTTTCTTGGGCTCATAAAAGAAAATGCAAGGAGGAAGAAAAAAAAAACTACTTCATCTCCCAATCAGGAGAGAGTTCCTGAGATACAAAATAATGTAATCTTGCTTTCCAGCTTTCAAAATCTGAGCTGCTTTAACAGTTCTGATGCACATCCCCCCAAAATAATGATAATTACATCAAAACATCACTGCAGGCTATCAGCAATGTTTCACTTGTTCAATGCTGACACGCCTTAAAGAGGTCAAACTATTATTTTCTCTCTTCTTTTTGAGCAATTAGACAAGTCCATAGGCAAACACTGAAAATCCTCGCATAATTTTCTTCCTAACATTTTAATGGATTTTTGAAGGCAGGAGTTGCAGAAAAAAAAAATTCTGCACCAAATTAAACTTATTGTTTGATCAAACTTTCCATGTACTTTTTGAGGTGTCCTAGTACACGCTTGTTACATGGATACCAGAGTGACATTTGGTTGCTTTCATGACAGCTGGCTCAGTACCTTAGGAGGGAGGCAGCTCAGGGCTTAGCTAGGCTCTAGGTCATGGCTGTTCCCTTTAGACCTGGGCTCGCATCCGACCCATCTCAACTGAACTGCCGCATCCGTGTGCCAGGACGAAAGGCCAAGGCAAGAGATAATTTTTGTTCTGAGATTACCAACTAAATCAGCTCAAATCAGGGCAATAGGGAATAGTGGAGACTAAGGCACAGTAGGCTGCAAAGCCTCCTTCTGTGGTCATTCACATTTACACTTTTTAAGAACGTTGAGTGCATTCAGCCAGCGCCGCGGCTCCATAGGCTAATCCTCCGCCTTGCGGCGCCGGCACTCCGGGGTCTAGTCCCGGTCGGGGCGCCAGATTCTGTCCCGGTTGCCCCTCTTCCAGGCCAGCTCTCTGCTGTGGCCCGGGAGTGCACTGGAGGATGGCCCAAGTGCTTGGGCCCTGCACCCCATGGGAGACCAGGAGAAGCACCTGGCTCCTGCTTTCGGATCAGCACGGTGCGTCGGCCGCGGCGGCCATTGGAGGGTGAACCAATGGCAAAGGAAGACCTTTCTCTCTGTCTCTCTCTCTCACTGTCCACTCTGCCTGTTAAAAAAAAAAAAAAAGTCGCATGCATTAAACAACACCCAGCTGTGGTTCAGAAGCTGCGTGGGACTTCCCCCTGTGACACCTGGGCTGGAGTTGGAGCCCCACAGGTTATGCAAGCGCAAGATCAGAGCTTCATGGCCAGTGGCATTTCTAGCAGGACAAGGGCAGGGAGAGGGAGTGTGGGAGGACCAGGAGCAGTGAGGTAGGCAGGGATCAGACCTGTGAAGACAGCTGACCCGCCCTTCCCATAGCTCTCAATCCTACATGACAGAACATGTCAAATGCTGGTACAAGGAGAGTATTTGGGGTAGTACCCGCCCACTCATCCAGGGTCAGCAATGAATGGAATGGAGAAAGTTCCGGACAATCTCATTTTCCACAGGAGACTTTGTGGGCCACTGTTTTGTTGAGAGAAGCCACGCTTTTGGGAAAGGTCAGGCTACCCTGGGAACTAATCTGGATTCTAAGCAATGTTTCTCATATTCCCAGATTCATAAAATCAATGCCTGGTAAGGGGGCTTCCACACAGAGGTCTTCCTGGGCCTGCTTTCATGATTAGCACTTGCAACACTGGCAATAATTACCTTTTAGAGAGCGGTCAGTGCCGGCACTGTGCTAAGTAGCTTGAAACCGATTATCTCACTTAATGGGAGAAATTCACACGTTGGTTTAATGTTTGATGTCTTGACTCATTACATCAGGCTGTCTGCCCATTCTCATGTCAGAGAAATCTTTTTAAGATGTTAAGTCAGGGGCTTGCGCTATGGCATGGCAGTAGGCATCCCATATGGATGCCGGTTCGAGTCCCGGCTGCTCCACTTCCAATCCAGCTCTCTGTTATGGCCTAGGAAAGCAGTAGAAGATGGCCCAAGTCCTTGGGTCACTGCACCCACGTGAGAGACCCAGAGAAAGCTCTTGGCTCCTGGCTTCAGATTGGCACAGCTCCGGCTGTTGCCGCCAATTGGGGAAGGAGCCAGCAGATGGAAGACCTCTCTCTCTCTCTCTGCCTCTCCTTCTCTCTCTGTGTAACTCTGACTTTCAAACACATAATAAATAAATCTTTACAAAAAAAAAAAAGATGTTAAGTCAGACAGTGCTGTGTGGCACTAAACACAAGCTCACTGATTTCTCTGTCGGTTTAAGAATTTTCCAATCTTGGAAACGATCGAAGGAACTGGGACCTCTATTTGATGCCTGCAGCTCTCTCAAATTCAAGAAAGTGCCTTCCTCAGTGTCTCCAGGTCTAGGAAGGGATGTGCATCCAGGCCCTGAGCACCATCCCCCATGCCTTGGGGTTGAGTGCATTTGGAAACTCTGGCTGACCTTGAACTTTCCATTTCCCATCTTGCTCCCGTGCCTGTGGCCCACAAACCTGTGGGCATTGTTGAACTTCGTCCTTTTCTTATCAGAACCTGACTGCACTACGGTGCTGCTCTCGCCTCTTAGACCTTCTTAGCATCTCCTCCTAGCCCCGGCTCCAGCTGGGAGCCTCGGCCGTGCCCTCAACAACATCTCAAGAATCCCTTGCACTCCCTGTCTCTTCTGCTGTGCCTTGTCTTGGCCAGTGCAGCAGCCAGCTGTGAACAGATCAGCCAGTTCCTTTTATTTATTTTGAGCCACAGAAGTCATTTCTCTTCCAATCAAATCTTCCTTACAACCCTAAATGATTAATGAGGGAGGGTAGCAGGGAGGGCATTTTTTTCCTAAGCCCCCAGAGCCCCACTCAAACCTTCTCTGCTTTGGCTGATCCCACCCACAGCACCGGGAAGCCCCTTCTTGATGCTCTTGCTAGTGCTTTGCTACAGCAAGTCTGCAACCAGAGCTAGGTTCCCCCACGGCAGCCAGTGGAATTCCTGCCCTATTGGATTTGAGAGGAAGGATCAATGAGGAAGAGGGCAGGGGGGTTGCCATCAGAAGATGGAAGGACCCTTCGGTCTCTGAGCCAGAGGAAGGAGTAGACAGGCAAAGAGACCCCCACTCGATGGCAGGGTTGGAATTTATGGGAGCCCACATTTGCTGAGTTTTGAACTCAGCAAAGTGAGAGCCAGGATGGAGTTTCAGGAGTGTGGGTAGAGTTTGAAGATGCTGCCTTGGGTGGCACATGGAGCCAAGTCAGTTAGAAACCAGCAGGAGGAGCTAATGCCCTGGGGAAGGCAGCAGAAAGTGGGTCCCTGCCACCCATAGGAGACCTGGATGGAGTTTCTGGCTCCTGGTTTCAGCCTGGCCCAGTGCAGCCATCTGTGGAGTGAACCAGCAGATGGAAGAGCGCTCTCTCTCTCTCTCTCTCTTTCTCTCTGTAGCTCTGACTTTCAAAATAAAGAAATAGATCTTAAAAAGAAAATACAGGGTGGCTTTGAGGCATTCCGAATCTTTCAGATCTCTCTGGGACCCCTTAGTAAGATAAACAGAGCTCGTAGCTCTTCTGTGTTCCTGTCAATCTTTGTGTCCTAATGACTTGGAAACCTAAACGGGTCAGCCTCTGCCCTAGCAGGATTGATGATGGAGGGTGCACCTTCTCACAATGCCCACTGACCATCCACACTCAATAAGAGCGTTGTAAGAGGTTTTGCTATGGTTCGACCACTTTTCACCGCCAGATAGCTTGTTTTTGGAGAACAGAAGCTCAGTGACAGTGAGACAAATGCACGTCTCATCCTTTGGTTCCAGTTACTGGCACAGATGGAATTTAGTGGTCTTGTGGTTGCATCATCCATCTGCCTGTCACTGGAAACTTAGCAAGTGTCCTTGGGTCCAAGTATACGATTAAGTTTGCTAGTGCTTGCCTCTGCTGTCTTCACTGGAATCCATACTGATTCAATCCAAGAGGAGAAAGATAGACGAAAACTGCCCAGTGCACCTGCCAAGCGCTGGCCACTTGTTAACGTCTTGGACTGGTGCCTCCCTGTGGCCCCAGGAGACAGACCCCATTGCTCCTATGGTACAGGCGAGGAAATCGGGATCAGCCAGATGAAGTCCAAAGTCAAAGAAAGGTTAGGGAGTTGGCCCTGAGTCCAGCCCTGCTCTGGCCTCTTCGTATGTCACCCTGGGTCACTTGCCTTGGGCTTGGACACTTCAGAGTCTCCATACAAATGGCATTTCAACATCCCTACTCATTTTCCACCTCATTGCCAACCAAGGCATGTTATATTTGGAAGCCGAGTGGAAGTGCAGCAAGATTGTGTGTGAGCCCTCGCCACACACACGTCCCTCTAGTTGTTGTCCCTAAATGGAATACCAGCTGTCAGAGTTTTTCTAGACATTCTGACAACATGTACGGGAGAGGGAAGTGAAGCAAAATCATCCACTGGAGAATAAATAGTTTCT